AACAAGGCTTTATACCAAATTTGTTTTTAAATGTTCTAGAACGTATGGTAGCCACTGGAACATAATTTTTCAGGGCTGATAAAGCCAAGGCATTTTAACTTTGCTTTTTGGGGGCTTTTGTTCTGTTTGTTTAAATAAAAAGCATTTGTAATACTTTCAACCACATAAAGAAATGATTGCCTTAGAGGTAACATAAACAGATGTTTTAGAGGCAGTTATTTTAGAATGTCTAAATAAAATGTACACAAAAGAATTTATTTCTCTCTTGCCCCTTTTTCCCTTTCCTCTCCTCTTTGTTTTCCCCTTTCTCTGCTCTGCCCCTCTTGTCACGTTAAGTTCTCCCATAACCAATACAAATGACCTCATATTTATAAAGCAATAGTTCTCTCCATGTTTATATAGTCACACAATGCATATATTCTTTGATTATTTTCCCAATATTATCTTAGATCCTGAGTTTTCAATTCTGTGAATATTTCAATGAAATTGACACAGGTGGTATTAAAATAGTTAGGAAACTAAAATTAGACCTTATATATTAATATAATTATATAATATATAATTTTATATTACATAAATATATACTAAAGTTTTAATAGGTTATTTCACATGGAGACAGTGGGACAAAATGGGTTAAGGAAGTCTGTCCTAGTCTTCTATAATAGCTCCAATTCATCCTTTTTAAAAAATATTTATTTTTTAGTTTTAGGTGGACACAATATTTTATTTCTGTGTGGTGCTGAGGATCGAACTCAGTGTGTGCTAGATGAACACTCAACCATTGAGCCACAACCCCAGCCCACCAATTCATTCTTCTTAACGGCTGTATTAAAATTATATAGTATAAATATGTTTACTATAATTATTCAAACATTCTCATATTGATGAACATTCACTTTGTTTCTGCTTATTTTTTCCTTACTAGAAAACCCTCTAGGAAACATCCTAATATGTCCTTTATTTTCTGATAGTTTTAATTATGAGTGGTAGATTCGTGGAAATCAAATGGTTATATTCGAGTACATGTGTTTAAAATTTTAATAAGATTCTCAGATTCTCTTCCAACAAAGACCATCAGAATAATTTATAGTCTACTTAGTACTACATGAGTCTCCTTATTTCTGCATTCCACCAGCAATTAGGTTAATTGTAATTTTTGCAAGACTGTTTAGTTATCTATGACCTGATTTTATGTTTTCCTGACTAGTAAATTTGTACATCTCTTCATGTTTTGTCTTTTGGGGGATATGGGTATTTAAATTTGCTATTATATGCTTTCCCTGTTTGGGGTTGTTTTCTTGTCAGTTTGAAAGCGATCTTTTATATTACAGCTGTTATCAGTTTGACTTACTACATTTTTCTCCAAATCTATTATTTGACTATTTGTTAGCAGCTTTTTTCTTCCATTTTTTTTTAGTGTGCATTCTATTTTATTCTTGAGTAAAATTTTTATTGGAATATTTTTGAACTTACAGAAAAGTTGCAAAGATAGTTCGGAGTTCCCATATACTCTTTACGCCCCCCCCCCTTTTTTTTTCTTTTTTTTTTGGTACTGGGGGTTGAACTCAAGGACACTCAAACACTGAGCCATATTCCCAGTCCTATTTGGTATTTTATTTAGAGACAGGGTCTTGCTGTTAAGAGGCTGGCTTTGAATTCGTGATCCTCCTGCCTCAGCCTAGTAGGCATGCGCCACCACATCTTCACCCATGCATTTTATCTTTTATTTTTTTATAATGTGAAAGCTATATCATTAATATGTTTAATTGTAATATTCAGACCTTGTAATCACCTTAAGTTCTCTCCTAGTCCTAAATGGTACTTTTGTCTTTCTGGATTTCTTATTAGATTTTTATTTAATTTCTTATATTTGCTTTAGTCTGTCTTGAATTTTATCTTGGCATTTATTATAATATAGAGGTCCAATTTTATTTTTCCAAAAGTAAAACCATTTGTGATGGGCACTACTTGTCCCATTCCCACTGACTTGATTACTACCTTTAGACTGCAATCTGCTTGTAGATTTCTACCAAAAAGCTTGCTGGGACATTGACTATCAATGTGGGGATTGCATCTTAATAGTAGTCTTCCAATCAGTCAATAGATCCTTTTTTTTTTTTTTTTTTTTTAGTTCTCTCAATGATGCTTCGTAGTTTCAGTGTACAGATCTTTAAAATGTCTCATTTTTGACTAGTTTTTAATTGAATTTGGTACTTGATTTTGATCCGTATGTCTGCAAATAGTTTTACTTCTTCCTTTGATAATGTTCGGGGCCTTACTGTATGGCCTCAATCTCCAGTAGTGTTAAATAGAAAGGTGAAGAGTTGATATCCTTAACCTCATTTCCAATCATAGAGGGTGGAGGTATTTAGTCTGTCACTCTTCCTTAGCTTTTATTCCTCCTGGTAAATTTCTTAACAGGTTCAAGTAAATATCCTTTGGGGATTGATTGGAGAACCCAAAGTTTGCCTTTTCCACTTCCTCAGGTAATTTGCTTTTGTTTTCCCATTTTAAAAAGTTGAGATATGGTTCACATAACATAAAATTCATACTTTTCTCAAGTTTACAATTCTAATGTGGTGTATTCACAAGGTTGTACAACCATTACCACTATGTAATTCTAAAACATTTTCACTACCTCATTAGCAGTACCCATTAGCAGTCAGTTCCCATTCTTCTCTCCTTTCTGTCCCTGGCAACCACGGATCGATCTACTGTTTCTATGAATAGCATCCATTCTGAACATTTCATATAAATGGAATCATAAAATATAGCTTTGTCTTAATGCTTTCAAGGTTTACCATGGAACAAACAGCACTATCACTTTCCCCTCCTTTTATGGCTCAATAGTATTCTATTGCTTGGATTTCACACACTTGTGTTTATGCATTCATCAGTTGATGGACAAATTTCTGCATTTTCAGCTTTCTTGGATATGATACCAAGAATTTTGAAATTGTTGAGTGAAATGGTAATTCTGACTTTTTGAGGAACTGACAAACTGTCCCAAAGGAATTTTACATTCCCATGAGCAGTGTGTCATAGTTTCTAATTTCTCCACATTCTTGCCAATACTTGTCTTTTTAAAAATAGTCATTCCAGTAATATCTTTTTCCTTTCCCTAAAACAGGTTAAGAAACTAAAATGAAAGAGGTCAAATGGCAGGTTTTAAGAGTAAATTTTCATACTTAGGATGTGACTTTAGGACACTATTAAAACCTTATAGAAAAATAAAAAATCAATTCAAATTGCTTTGTTAGTCTCTTGTCTGCCATCTACCTGCTAATAGTAATTCCTAGGGCCTGTGATACTGGAGATTCTATAGTAAAGTAATCTAGTTTTCCTGAGCTGTTATGATGTGGCTTAGATTTTAGAAAATATTCTTATTATCTCATCCTTTTTAATACCTGTGACCTTTGAGCATTTCATTGATGCTTGGTGTTACTGACAATTTTTCCCAAATTAAGTATAAGTTTATTAAAGGTAAGAGCTCCCCAGTGCTTTATTCAGGGAGCCATATACATAGTTTCAGTTTACTTAAAATGCTTATACAATTCATATATTAATTAGTTACTGCACAGCCCAGCTTCTCGGCCACTGGGTCACAAATGTCAATTTCCTCTTTTTAGGTTCCTAACCTCCTAGACTTTAGATATTAAGATTCCCAAGTGACTATGCAAACATACCAGGAATGACTGAGAAATGTTCAGCTTCTCTATAATAGAAACTTCTAATCTGCTCTGGAAATGAGCACTTTTTAAGAATTTTGTTTTATTTAGTTTTAGTGATGGTAGAATGCATTTTGACATGTTGTACACAATTGGAGCACAACTTCTCATTCCTCTGGCTGTACAGGGTGCAGAGTCACACCAGCAGTGTAATCATATATGTATATAGGGTAATAATGACTGTCCTTCCCATCTTTAGAGCCCCTCCCCTACCCTCATTCCCCTCTACACAAACCAAAGTTCCTTCATTCTTCCCTACCGACACCCCACTATGGATCAGCATCCACTTATCAGAGGTTTTATGGGATTGGCTGGGAATTAGCATATTTAAGGCAGTGTCCTCTAGATTCATTCATTCAATGAAGACAAAGTATCTACCTACTTGTGCCAGGCTCCAACAGTACTCACTTTCAGTACAAAAACAAATTGGAAAAGAAAGTTGTTTGCTATTCCAAGTAGTCTCTATACAAGGCAGGCATAGTGGTGAATACTATATTGCCAGCAATTTGGGAGGCTGAGGCAGGATTCCAACTTTGAGGCCAGCCTTGGCAATGTAAGGAGACCCTGTCTCAAAATTTTTAAAGGGAGTTGTGGAAGTAGCTCAGTGGTAAAGTGCCCTTGGATTCAATCCCCAGTATCCCCCACCCTTAAAAAAAAAAAAAAAAGTCCTGTGCAACTGTTGTAACATGACCAATTTCCAGAAGATGCCACCAGAGCTCAAGGAACAGCCATTTGCTATAATACCAGAGGGGTCTTAATGTGCATAAATATGAAGGTGTATTTGAAGAGTTTTCTTTTATCCTTTCCAACCACATAGATGAGATCATTGTGCTTACAGAAAGCAAGCAGTTAATCAACTGACACTTAATGATAGGAATATAGCCTAAGAAATGGAGGTAATTTTGTTGTGTGAACACCATGGAGTGTCCTTGCACAAACTAAAACATCTACAACATCCTAGGTGATATGAGATACACTGTTATGTGTACGTACACCAGTGTGTAATACAGTCCATCATTTACTTTTATAAAAAGTAGACATAAAAAAGAAGAAACATTTTTTGGTTATAAATTTTCACTCATAAAAGTACAGTTTGAAAGGTTCTGTTGATGATTTTGAAAATATTCTGCAATTTTAAAAGATTAGATAAAGTAACAGTGATTTTGGAAATAATGAAAGTGATATTAATCTTTCATCTTCACTTTTAAATATACAAGAAAGCACCCCTAAAAAGGTAATTAACTGTAGACAACTAGAACAAATGACAATACATACTGAGACCTGAATGTTTTATTGTTAAGAAACACCTTTACTTTGGCCCAATTAACAAAGAGTTTTCAATATGATGAGTTCTTCACTTTCCTTTTATAGTACAGGGATAAATATAGTCACAAAAGCAGAAAACAAAAAAGGGGAAGGGAACATGTAAATATTTGAGAAAAACATGGGAAAAAATTCAAATATAAATGCAGGCTTAATTTGCGTTTATATAATGGATGTTTTGCTTACATAAGCAATATATAAGAGTCACTTTTTAAAATCTAGTAAAAAGTGGTAGAAACTTTTGGCAATTTTTGTTCTAATTGTTAGGTAATACTTCCTTATTAGAAAAAATAAGTTTCTCTTATGGCTCTCACTCTCATTGATAAATAAATACAATTTATTTAATAATCACCTCATAGATTTCAGTGTTGCATTTCATTTTAATTGATTTAATTCACTAGTAGTATAAAATGGGATTTATATGTATCTTATGATATAAAGTGAATAATCATAACTATCACTTTAAAAAAATTCATTTCTATCAAACTTAATAGAACTTCCTCATAGCTCAGAGAAATGCAGTTTTAACTCAAGTTTTTAACAGGTGAGTTATTAAAAGAAAATGCGTACTATAAATTAAAATGTACTTTTAACATGTTCTAAACATACTTTTTAAATATAAAGATGTTGGCTCTGGTACATAAGAAAATATTTACAACTTAAAAAAAGCAGATTGTAGAATATACATGTTCTGTGTATAAAAATAAGTAAAATGTTTTACAGTCCAGACCAAGGGATCTTTTCTAAGCCAGGTTTTATCCATGCAACTCTATTACAATACCATTCGTCGGTGTTACGGGAGCACACATGCATGGAAGAAATCTAACAGTAGCCTTGAGTTAAAGCTCATACTGACTTTTTAAGGCTTGTACATCTTCTAAAGTAAAATGGTGGTTTGGTGTGGCTGAAAGATCATCAAACAGCTGTTGAATTTGCTCCTTTTGGCCCTTGCTAATCAATGTCAACATCATCTGAGAAAAAAAAAAAAAGACAAAAAGTTCGTTATAAGAAACCCTGAAAGAACTGATATCATTAATAAAACACTTTATCACTTACCTTAAACCTTTCTGCTTTACTCAGATACAAAAGATGTTGATACACCAAGGAGGGATCCTTATCAATAAGATGATTTTTCAGAGACTGAACTAGAAGAAGGAATGTATCCCCTTCAAGTTTGTTACTCAGCAACACTGGCAAATCTTTTGGTGCAGTAATGGCTAAAAGGTGTGCACAGGCTTCTTCATCTTTCCTTGTATTGATAGCATTTATAACCTGGCCAAATTCATAGGCATTAGTAGGTTTGGAAATCTCAAGTCTCTCGGAGTGTTCTAGTGTCCCACTGCTTCCACCTCCCTTTTCAGGAGCCAGGTATTCAGTTGAGATGTCCCCTGAGGTTCTTTCAGGCTCCTCATTGCCTTCATTCACCTTCATGAGAAAAAAAAAATTATACAGTGACACTGAATAACAGTCACCACACATACTCTGTTGCCTTTGAAAATGGAAATTGAAAACCACAAGTAGATTGTACTTGAGTTTTAAGTCAGAAGTATGTAATTTGTAATAAAAATCTATAATTTCTTTAGAAAGAGAATTTTAGGTTCTAAGAATCCAAATTCATAAATATATTCTATATATACTACTTTAAAATCGTTTTGCATTGAAATTATTATTAATTTTATTTTCAGAACTTTCTTTGAATAAAAATGTTGCACAAAATGAAAACCTATAACATTTTTTTCTCTTTTTCTTGATAAATTTTACCATTATTCTTATTTCCTTATATTTAACATAAGTTCACTACATTTTTCAATCTCTTAGAACAGTTATTTTCTTCCTTCTTTAAAGGGAAGAAAACTTCTGGCTTCTCTCACCTATTAGCGTCTTATTCTTAGTGGAAATATAAGACCATGAATTGGTATTCATGAAGGTACAGGGATTCATGGCCTGGCATTCTTCACTAATGGCAGGGCAAAATATCTGAATTATTGGAAATCACAAAGCCACATTTGATCCTGGGATAGTCCAAAATCTCCAATGAGCCAATCTTATTTCAGAGTGCTAAAAAAGGTCTGAGAAAATCTGGAAAATCTCCATGGGGTGTGGCTTTTAGGGTCCAGAAACTGAAGTCAGTTCTGTCAGGATTCTCCAGGCCTAACCTGAAGCAAAGCCTGATGGCTAAGGGCTGTGGCTCCAATATGCCATGGAGTGTTAGCAGTGCCACGAGCAGGCCAGACTGGCCAGCAAAGAAAGGAAGAACTGAAGAAACACGATGCCAGCCATGGACCCACCCTGGGAAATCACAATGGTTAATTATGACTGCAAAGGACAAGTTTTGTCTTTATCACTGGCTAAAATTTTTCACTGATCATCAAAATAAGAAAAAGATTTTGTGGAAGTCAAAAGAATATGACCTTAGTTATGTATAAACATCTCCAAAAGAGTACTTTCAAAGATAATCAAATACAATACCTCTTGAATTTCAATTTTCCTTCTCTCTTTTCCTTTGTTGAATGATGCTGTGTTATCCTTAATATTGAGGAGTCTGGTTACCTCTTCCAATTCCATCTTTGCTTCAACGATATTTGGGTCTAATAGGAGAACTTGATTGAGATCAGATAAGCTTTTCTGATAATTCTGAAAATAGGAAGACAACAAATAATTTTCATAAATAAAAGACAAGACCTCTATTAGCCTGCATGACAAAGTAAACTGTGTACCTAGAGGGTCTTGTAAATCGCCTGTGTGTGAGTCTGCAGCTAAAGGAGTAAAACCCACTATACAGCAAACCCCTCTATTGAAGAAAGAGCACAGAATCTGGAATTAGTAAATCCACGTGCTATTCTGTGTCACTACAGCTTTCCTCTTTCTTACACCTGGTAGGCACCTATCTCGATAAGCAAACAAAAGAGTGAAGAGTCTCATGTTGGCTACCTCTTTGTAGTGAAACTCAAAAAAAAGACCCTAAGCTGGGCAGGGTGACAGTCCTACTACTCAAGAGACTGAGAAAGGAGGATCACCTAGGCTCAACAGTTTGAGACTAACCTGGGCAACAGTGAGATAAGCTTAAGTTTTCTCATCTTTAAAATATAACAAAAACCCTATTCTAATTTTCACAAGGCTGTACCAAAGAATAAATTAATAAATAGTTTAAACCAATAAAGATACACAAATGGTAGTAATTATATTATTATCTCATAAAACCCTTCAAAATTGTTTACTGTTTGAAATAGGTGTCAACCTTTAACCTAACAGACAATAACAAAATGGGTCCATTGACTCTGGTAGCAGATACAGATGCCACAAAATCAGTCTGCTGTGACAGACCATGTCCTGGAACTTTAAACTATTTTAATTAAACCAAATTGTGAGGAGGCAAAGAATTGTAATGATATGTGACACATTAATAACAGCATGAACTGGAGACTGAGCCACAGATGAGCTCCGTTTGTGGTTATATGACATTCCTGTAAATGCCATAGCCCTACCCCTTCCCTCAGCAACGTGCCAGAGCAAGAGTAACATGTTGAAAGGGATAACCTTAAATTCATTCTAATTTATAAAAAAGGTAAATTGTTTACGAACTAATATATACTATTAGTGATAAATTTCCATACTACTGTGTTGCAACAGCACAGATAGAACCTACTAGGGGGAAAAAAAACTGACACTGTATTTATACCCCAAGTGGGTGTGAATATGGTAACAGCAAACTTTTACCATTCTAAGCATTTTTCAAGGCTGACTTTATTCTCACAAAAGCTCTGTCAATATTAACTTTCATTGTTCCTGCTTTAAAAATGAAGAAACTTTGGTGTAAGGAAATAAGAGATGATCACAGCAGCAGTGCCTAGAAGGTAGGTGATAAACAGTGTGAGCTCTGAGCTGCAGCGTGGAAATGGAAGTCCAACCTACAGGAGCTGATGTGGTCAGTTTCACTCACTCAAGAAAGTCTGCCTGAAAAGCAATCTGCTTGGTTGGAGGAAATGCGAGAGAATGTGGGTAAGTACTAACACAGAGGCAGGGAGAGGGCAGGGCAGCAGGAAGGGAGAGGACAGCACCAGGCAAGGAGGTAGTGCGGGGGGTGTCCACCCCCCCACACACAAGTGGTCACTCAGCTCACCCTGTGTGTGCAGCTGGGAATACTGTGGCGCAGGACAAAGCTGGGTCATGCCCTTGTGGGAGCTTACATCCAATGATAAAGAACAATAACAGAAGTAAATACATGAAAAAATAAAATAATTACCAACTGTCATGATAAGAAAAGAAAAGGCTGTGCCAGACACCCACAAGGGAGGAAGGGGATCCCTTTTGCTACAGTTGTCAGAGAACAAGACCTGAAGAGAGAGCAGCCATGCAAAGTGGTGGGAAGACCAGAGCTTATATAAAGTGTGGCACTGGCCAAAAGGAGGCCTTTACAAATTGCTAAGAACCTCCGTAGACCTTTAAAAAAAAGGGTATAATCATATGTGTTGGTGATAATGTTTACTATTAGTAGACTTTTTTTAAAATATTTTTTTATTGGACACAATACCTTTGTTTTTAATTATTTATTTATTTATTTTTATGTGGTGCTGAGGATCAAACCCAATGCCTCACATGTGCTAGGTGAGCGCTCTACGGCTGAGCCACAACCCCAGCCCCTAATAGACATTTTTAAACCATAAAATTGATCATTATTTTATAGCGTATTATTCACTTTGATATTTTTGGCCTTGTAGCATCCCTTATTGGCTGTAAACTCCTTGAGTAGGCACCCTGTTTTATTCATCTCTATGCTAACAACACCTACCACATAACCTACCACATAACATAAACATAATAAGAGAAATAAAAACAAAATATCAATTACCTTTTTTGTGAAGAACAACTGTAAATACTTTTCAAAACTGCACACATACACAAACTACTAAAGTCAGCTAAAAAAAAAGATCAGAGAAAGCAGAATGTGCAGTGGGAGGCACAGGACACCTGTGCCAATTCCTGGTTACACTCACCCTGAGCAAACTGATCCAGGTGTGAAATCTGACACATTTCATAAGCAATTGTAGCCTTTAAAGATTCTAAGATTAAATTCACTTGGCACACAGTTCAACCTACTGGACAGATAAATCAAACTATGAAAAGTGAAAAGAGAACAAGATACCAGTCTCATAATATGATGGGACAAAATTACTCAAATATGGGATTTTTTTCTGCATAATAGAATTTCTAAAATCCATTCCAAGGATAAAATTCCAGTCCTTTATTAAGTGCAGTTTCTGATCTTGAGTCAGCTAAACAGGATTAAAGAAGCAACCAGTACAAGGTGGACCTGGTCTAAGAGTTTGGCCATATATAAATTCATGAGTCAAGCAAATTTATCTTCATTTACCCAAATCCATCAGCTCCAAGAGTTAAATAAATTTTGAAGGACTCTCTTAATTCATGGTGCCACACACCATCAAGGAAATCTGTTTTTTTAAAAAATATTTATTTTTTGTAGTTATAGTTGGACACAATACCTTTATTTTATTTATTTATTTTTATGTAGTGCTGAGGGCCTTGCACATGCAAGGCAAGCGCTCTACCACTGTGCCACAACCCCAGCCCCAGAAATCTTGACATTAGGTTTACAAGACAGTTTTGCTAACTAAAAGTGGAGTGGGGGTTAGGGTTGTGGCTCAGTGGGAAAGCACTTGCCTAGCAAGTGTGAGGCCCTGGGTTCAATCCTCAGCACCACATAAAAAATAAATGAATAAAATAAAGCTACAAAAAAAAAATGGAGGGGTCATCAGGGTCACCCGGACACTGGCACTGTAAATATGGTGCAGCTGCATGGCTCTCTCAGAAGGAGCCATCTGGTCCTGGCAGGAAGCACAGACATGGCTCTACTGAAGTCTGAGCGGATTTGCCATCTAGAAATGCCTGGTTACTCTGCGCACACAGATGACACTCTTCTGGCATACTAAGCAACAACATGACTCCCAGCAAAATCCAGGTATTTCCCTTTCAATGATGGGCATGGGATTAAAAGAACTATCTCCAACTCAAAAAGTCAAAACTACTCCCTGCACAAGCCTGTCCCCACTTCCTGTGTACCCTCCATTATCACACTGCACCTCCCAGGTCTCTCGGTGGCACTCCCTTCTAACCCCAGACATCTCACTGTTGTGTCCTGCCAACTTTATCATCAAACAACCTTGAACCAACTTCTATTATGGTCTGAATCTGATCCTCCAAAATTTGGATATTAAAGTTCTAACCCACAATATTGTACAATATAAGTATATTTGGAGACAGTCTTGAAAAACATAATTAAGTTAAAACTAGTTGGTTAGAGTGGGCCCTATTCCAATGTGATTGGTGCCCTTATAAGAAATGTAAAGTTAGACATAGACGCACAGTGAGGGAAGACTGTGAAGATGTAGAGAAGATGGCCATCTGCATACCAAGGAGACAAGCCTCAGAAGAAACCATCCCTTCATGATCTTAGACCTCCAGAGTGTGAGAAAATAAATTTCTTTTGTTTAAGCCACTCAATCTGTGGCACTCTGTTACAGAAGCTCTGTCAAGTATACCTTCTCTCCTCCCTCTAGGCTATGTGTTTCTCACCTTGGTGGCCTCCCACTTACACTCCTATTCTATTAAAAGACCCCTCTCTGATCTACCTTCTATGTTGTCCCGAAATTGGATCTGTCACGGTAGTATTTATCCCCTAAGGTTGATCCCATCACCTTCAGGATCAAGCCTAACTTCCTTGGCATGGCCTCTCTTGATCTGACCATCTCTATCCATCATCACTCCCACTTACTTTCAGCTGTATAGCTCATGAACAAGTTCATGTACATAAGAATGTCATAGTAGTCTCACTCATAAAAGCCCCAAGCAAGAAACAACTGGTGTATGTATAACAACTTGTGATATTCACACAACAATGATAAAAGAAACAATTCCTGATACTCTCAAAATGAACAAATCTCAGGTTGTAATGACTAAAAGAACCCCAAAGAATAGTGTACTCTACGATGATGTCAAAACAAGCAAAGCTATGAAAATAGAAATTAGATGAAGAGGAAAGGGAAGACAGCAAAGGGGCTCAGGAAGCTTTCTGATATTTTCTGGGATTTCTGGTTACTATATTTTCTACATATAGGAACACTCATTCATTAAGCTTCTATGCAGAATTTGCATAAGGAAAAGTGTAATTATACAACACCCTCCTTATTCTGAACTAATGGTGTGGTTTTCTTTGAGTTGAATGCTGGTATGAGCCCACACAGACCATCAGCCAGCTTCAGGCTCACGTCACTATGTACTTTACATCTCTGGTACATCACTGTGTCACTGGGTGACCCATCTTCCACTCAGATGCTTTCCCCCACCCTACCTCAACCACAATCTTTGCTGAAGGAACCAGTGGCACTGCTGGTGGTTTCAATAATTCAATAACAACCTTTTGGTCTCCTAAAGTCAACCTGCTGAAACTCCTCAGGAAGGCAGAGGATAATTCTTACTTAAAGGTGGAAGGAATCCATAGTATAGTTAGGAGTGAAATCTGAAACCTATTCTAAGGCTTTAGGACTCATTAATATAGTTCTAGGACTAAATCTTAGATCATCTCATTCCCATTCCATGATCCTATGATTTTTTTTTCTTGGTACCAGAAATTGAACCCAGGGGAGGGGCACTTAACCACTGAGCAACATCTCTATCACTTTTTTGGTTTTTTATTTTGAGACAATGTTTCACTAAGTTGCTAAGGCTGGCCTTGAACTTATGATCCTCCTGCCTCCACCTCCCAAGCCACTGGGATTACAGACATGTGCCACCATGCCACTAGGTGGCATGGTGATCACCAGGCTGATCCTGAGATTTATGTTCATGGAAAACACCTGATATGTTCAAAGCAGAAATTTACACATGAAAATGCAGATGTCCTCACCTTGAGTCCTTTATGAGCCAGTGCCCGTCTAAAATATGCTTTCACATTGTCACCATCTATCTGAAGTGCCTGATCACAGTCCTGCTTTGCTTCTTCAAACTGGCATAACTTCAGGTAACAGAGAGCTCTGTTGTAATGCAAGGGAACATAGCATTAGCAAAGAAAAGATAGCATATCTGTAAACTGAGACAACTAGTAAAAATCAGAGAACAGTTCAATGTGTCAGTTTCTACACCAAAGCTGTTTCAACTGAAACTGAACACATGACTCCAAGCTGTGAAACTCTCCTGCAGTGCATGAAATTACAGCATTGGCAATACAACTGCAAAGAAAGCCCTCAAGAAGGGTGCAGTCAGGTGCAGACAGAAGTAAACTGAGCAAATGCAATAAAGTCTGCACAGGTGTTCTGGGAGCACAAGCCAAGAATCACATCAGATCACACAGGGCAAAGTCAGGAGGGACAGCAGTGGAGACCTCCTGGAATAAGTGACATTTAAATTGAAATGCAGAGTATGAAGTGAGAATGATCCAAGTCACTAGGTTGAGAGAGTCAAGGGGACGGCAGGGGACAGTGGAGGCTAAAGGTACAGCATGTGTACACACCTGTGCTGGGAGAGAGCATGAGGCTCCTAATGAATTAAGAAAAGCACCACATGGCTGCAGTGCAGGGCAAAGCCAGAAGAACGGGCAGGCCAGATCAAGGTCCTTACAAATCAGGGCAAGGAGGCTGAGCTGTATTCTGAGCTTAACAGAGGCCTGCTGCAGGGACTTAATAGGGGCTGACATGTTTGCCAGGTTTTAGGAAGATCACCATAGCTTCCTGGAGCAGAGACAAGAGAACTCAGGAGAACAAGACAAGCAGGAACATGAACATGAAGGCACACTATGGAGGGTGTTAGAGATCTTGGAGGAGATGACAGAGGCACAGAGAAGGGGAGTGATGTTGAAGGGGTCAGACAGTTCACACTGAAAGGATATGTAGAGAGTAGGACCACTGAACTTGCTGACATCTGAAACAGAGAGGTCAGGGGTAATGAGCAGCCCTGATACAGAAGGAAGGGGGTGTTTGGGTCTGACATTCAAAAGACACATTTGCAAAGTGCTAAATGGAGCTGACTGAGAGAGGGGATGAAATGGCCCCGACAGTTAGTCAACTGAAAAAGGGATCGAGAGCTCCTGAACCCTGAGATACCAAAATAAGAAAATCTGGCTGAGGGAGAAGAGAAGCTGTCTGTCCCTGCAGCCAGGGTAGGAAGGGTCTTCACTAAGAACCGCGAAGCCAGTGATGCCCATTCCTGTAATATGGACAGAAGGGCAAAGAATTTAGTGATAAGGTTTTTGGCTAAAAGACTGTCACCAGAGGAAAACATTCAAAAACATGGTGATAGCTTAGGTCAAGAAGTTACCTGAAACAGGGGGGAAAGCCTGCAACTATCCTCTCCTACTCTATCACCCCAGATTCTAACCGCTCCCTGAAAATCCCCAAATCACCACCTAGAGGGAGATTCTCTACCACATATGGCAACCAAGCAGCATTCTAGAATAGTCTTCCTGTTCCTATCGCACACTATAAAGGTACTGGTTCTTTCCCTCAGCACTGCAGAAGAAAAAGCGCACTGCTCCATAAGATACTGTTTTGAAAAGTCATTGGCTCCCATTCCTCCCCCGCTGGGCAATGCCAAGCTCAGATAGCTGCAGAGGCCAGGAAGCCAGGAAGTGCCAAATCAGAACAGCACCAGCCCAAGCAGCAACTGTAGCTCAAGAGGACCCCTCATTCCCACACCTCACATTTCCAATCCCTTTGCAACCTCTATAGTCCCATCTCTTTCAGAAACACTCAGAGGACAACTTGACATATAAATTCCTAGAACCATGACCCCAAAACACTGGCAACTAATTACCTTATTGTAAATTAATTGTACTAATTAATAGAATACTTTTAAAATTATTATTTTTAAAATAATCAGAAGTCTTAACATAAGAAGTATATGAAGTTACAAAGAACTTGCCTGTTTGTATATATGGCACACTCCTTGTTATTAATCTTCAAGCATTCACTGTATTTACTAAGAGCATCTTTATAGTTTTTATCCTTTACATATTCATTTCCTTCTTCCTTAAGCACTTCAAACATTTTTTCTTCTACAGCTTCTATGGGACAAAGAAAAAAAAGAAAGAAATATTCATATAAATACCTCTATAAAATCCTAAGTATAGCTATAGGTAAATCTAATGTTGCTAATTAATTTGATCATACACAATACAGAGCTTGTATAAATGGAGCAAAACTAAAGAGATAATCTGATTACAAATAAAAATAATTATGTAATTATAAAACTATAATTTTTCAATTACAAAATAAAGGTGAGAATGGGGGAACATAACTATAATCCCAGTGACTTGGAAGGCTGAGGATGGTCGAGCACAAGTTTGAGACCAGCCTCAGTAACTTAGCAAGGTCCAAGGCAACTTAGCAAGGCCCACAGGAACTTACAGATATCCTGTCTCAAAATAAAAAACAAAAAGGGCTGGGGATGTGGCTCAGTGGTAGGTAATGCAGCCCTAGGTGTAAAACCCAGCACCACTCCCCCGCACACACACAAAAAAATCACAAAATAAAATACAGGTAATTTCACACATGCTATCCATACTGGCATGACTTCTTTTGGGTTTATGGAAACCTTAACAAGCCAGAACTACCTGACAGGTAGTCCAAACAAGGACAAGAGCTAGAGTCGCAAATATAACTGCTCATCTTAACTGGCAAGACCCATGGTGATTTCTGTAACCTCAATTCATGAGACCTTGTATGGCACTTTCACAAAAGAATAGGGCACCTTAGATGTTTCATTGAGCTGTGAAAATGGCAGAATCCATCTATGAAATGGGGATACAAATACCTTCAGTATTCGGCTCAATAATCATTTTCATAAATAATGGCAAAGAAACCTCTTAACCCTGAAGTGGATATCTAACCAGCACGACAAATTTCCTGTTAAATATTTATGCTGTATTACTTTTATTCCTTTATTCCTGTCACATACATGGTATACTGGTTATCTTAATTCTTCTTCTCAATAATAACGCTAATTTAATGTTTATTAAGCAGATGCTATAGGATTATACACTCAGTACATGTCATGTATACATATCTTCATTTCTTCTTGAGAAACCACCTCATGAGATATTCATATTTCCCCCTTTCCTATACACTTGGACATAGGAGGTATGAAACAACTTCTTTTTCTTTCTTTCTTTTTTTTTTTTAAACAATGCACAGCTGGTTCATTTTATTTTCAGGATGAGAAATGGTGAATATTTCCAATCCATCACAATAGGCTTAGCATTTGTATCCAAACCTCTGTGGATACTCACATTTTTAGTATCATGTAGAGACATCTTGGGTATGATTATAGTGTGGATGACAACACAGTTTGAAGTTTGGAAAGAGACATATGCCAAATCAAATTCCCTAACAGGAGGCCCACTGAACATAAATTTTACAAAACAGACCTGGTATAACATCCAGTTAGTGATACACTGTTTGCTGTCAGGAAAGTCAGGGGCTGAGAAAGACCACAGAATTTCACACTATATATCCAGGTACTCTTCTAACAACCTGTTTCCTAGACAGACTTGAAGTTCACTAAAGAAAACAGAAGCTTCAGATCCAAACTTCCAAACTTGAAGTCCAGTCCAATTAAGTGTGAAACAACTTAAGACCACACAGTCAAAAAGCAGAACAGGGTCTCTTAACCCCAGGTCTGATGCCAGAGTTCAGTCTCTTTTCACTGCGCCACTGTGGAAATACGAACATGACTCAGGATAACTTCAGAGGAAATGAGTATAGGTTTCCCCACCTGTGATGCTCGGTGAGTGATGGCCGCTGGGATCTCCCCCTTGGTCTGGGGTCATGGGTGTGGCAGGATGCCAAGCTCGAAGGGGCTCAGAAGTGGGCACAGCAGGAATAGGTGACAGCTTTTCCCGCCAATTTGGACCATCCAGCTCCATTAAAATTCTTGTTATTCTAACGAGAAAATGAGTGTTCTTTATTTATTATGCAATTTGACTTTTACATTACTGAAGTCAGAGTAAGGCTGACAAACACTATATCTAATTATATGTATTTCCTTATAGAAAACATAAAATTTGAGCTATGTTCTTTCCACATAAAATAAATATTTTCAAAGAACTTTTACAAACTGCCATTAATGATATAAATTCAGGCCATTTCTTCTTCTTTTTTCTTTTTTTTTTTGTTTTTTTGTTTTTATTGTTTGTTTGTTGGATTCAGGATTTTTATGCTGCCCATACTGCCTCAAACTTGAGATCTTTCTGCCTTGGTCTCCTGGATAGCTGGAATGACAGATATATACCACTGTGCCCAGACAGACCATTTTCTAATCAAAAGAAAAAAAAGCATTTTTAATTTAATTTTTTTTAATATGTACACAATTAAATTTTAACTCTTCAAAAGTGAAATATGAAATCAAAATTTAGGAGACCTAAAAGAAATATTCCCCAATATTTAATGCAAGTACTAAATTGAAAATGTATTGCTCGAGAATAATCAGAAGTACTTTAGAATTTCTTTGCACAAACTGCACTATAGTGGTTGACGACAGGTATGCAAGACTGGTGCTAGAAGTGATTATGGCTAGATGTCATATGGAACACCGTTTCTTAAATCATAGGTTAAGATAGTCTTACCTTGTATTTTTGACTTTCAAATTATCCACATATTTATTTTCTTTTCAAATGAATAAAGATGAAAAAATAGGATATTGGAATCTACCATAAAGGCCCTTACACAATCGACACTAATGACAATCATAAAATTCAGGTTAACATCCTTAAGTATTACTTTCTCATTGTTTTAAACAAACAAAATGTCACACGGATTTAAAAACAAAACAGAATTATGTCTTTGGGATGAATCTGGTTTTAAAAAGGCACTTCCCAAGACTAAAAAGGTTTATTGCTAATTAATTAATAGAATGCACTGAAGTTAGCAGCTAAGTCTACAGTCTCAAATAGATTTTTTTTAAAATTGTTGATGGACCTTTATTTTTTTATTTATATGTGGTGCCAAGAATGGAACCCGGTACCTCACACATGCTAGGCAAGTGCTCTACCACTGAGCCACAACCCCAGCCCCTCAAATATTTTTTGTGTGAGGAATCTGTATATTACATGCAGACAACTGTAATATACACACTTCTTCTACAGTTTCTAACCTGAAATTTCAAGAGCAATCTTTGGTTATGATGACTAAGTCTCATTGAATGTAAAAAACTAAACTTGAAAATTAATGTATAACCACCCACAACTGCAGAAGGAAAAAGAAGCTTTTGAAAAAAGAATTTTTAAGCAAAACTTATATTACCAGTAGAAAGGAAGGAAGAAGCAGCTGAAAAAACATGATGTGTTGCCAGGGAGTGAATAAGTATATGCAGGGAAATCTAACATAGTAAGATTCCTAGAGAGGAAAAGAGGAATATGGTTAATGGAAGACAGAAACAAAATAAGCACAAATGTTTAAATTAAAAAAAAAAAATTAACAAGTTGCTGATGCTTACTTTTCCATGATGAGCTGAAACAGATGGAAAAGCAAGCATAAATATGGGATTCATGAAAAAAATAATAAAATTTTAAAAGTGGTTCTTTTATATTAAATATATATATGGCAAAACCAGAGAAAGCCTCCTCTCATCTTTATTATAGCAGACTATCCCAACAAGAACCATTCCATTAAAAATAACGTAGTCTTAAAAGTCACTTGGTATGAAAGAACCTTGAGCAAATATACAAAATACAATACAAATCTCAAAAAGTTAAATGTAGCCATGTGAACCAGCAATTCTGCTCATATACACCAAAAGGAACTGAAAACAGGTATGTAGACAAAGTTATCCATAAGTGTTCATAACAGCATTATTCACAATAGCCAAAAGGTAGAAACAACTGCAATGTCCATTAAATGGTGAATGGATAAACAATACATGATATATACATACATATAATGGAATATTATTCAGCCATAAAAAGAAATGAAGTACTGATACATGCTACACCATAGATGAACCTTGAAAACATTACACTAAATGAAAGAAGCCAAACACAAAAAGTCACATAGTGAATGACTCTATGTATATGAAATAGACAGAACAGATGAAGACAGCAGATTGGTGATTGGTATGGGATGGGAAAGGGAGAATGAAAAGTGATGGCTTAATGGCTACTGGTTTCCTTTTGGGATAATGAAAATGTGTTGGAACTAGAAGGAAACAATGGTTGCAACACACTGTAAGTGCACCAAATGCCACTGAATTGCACACTTTCAAGGCAGGTAGTTAATTTTATGCTATGTGAATTTTATCTCAATTTTTAATTAAAAATATTAAATGCAGAAAGAGTAATCACAGTCTCTCAGACACAATTTCTCCCTTCAAACCATTCAGATTATTACCATAAACCATTGAGACTATCACTAGTTTTCCCGAAATATCTTTTTATCAGGCTCCTCCTCTCTGTCATATGTCACTCAATATTTCAGAAGAGCCTCTGTGAGATCTTCCTTTCTCCCACCAGAAAACTGCCAGGCAAAGAATGGAGACAACTAATCACAGAGCCCCAAATCACAGGAGCACACTGAGCTTCCCCTGCTGGAGAACACCCTCATTCGACACGTTGTTGCTGAGGACAGCTATCTACTAGCAGCTATGAAAATGGAAACACCATGATTCCTGACCTCAAGGAGCTCCCAGCAGAATGACAGAAGAATTTTATAAAAAGAGACACAAAGAATACAAAAACAATATGGGTGGGTAATGAGAGAAGGCCAGCATTATGGGGCACTGAGAAAGGGAAGCTAAGGTTCACGAACGAGGAAGTGGGGGTTGAGGTGGGGTGTTGGTGGGTCAGAGAAAGGCATTTCCTAGAATAAGGAAGCAAGTCCTCTCCTAAAGGGTGACCTGGAATTTACCAGACCAAATGAGGACAAGGCCTTCAGGCACATATGAGATGGCAAATGGCAGTAAGGTGGTTGGGCATCACCAGGTAAGATTGCCTAACAGCTCACAATCAAGGAGGCTGCCAATGCCAAGGCTGGGTCTCTTCCCTCTCTGCCACAAACAACCTGTACAGGCTGAGATCCCCTACTCTAAATGCTTGAGACCACAAGTGTTTCAGATTTTAGATTTATATTTCCAGATTTTGGGATAGTTCCATATATGTAGGCGATATTTAGGGGATGGGGCTCAAGCATAAACATGAAATCCATTTATATTTTATAAGCCACCTTATACACATAGCCCGAAGGTAATCCTATATAATATTTTTGGTGCATCTGTATTTGACTGTGATGGTCATATTAGGCCAGGTGTGGAATACTCATAGTATTGTGCTCAGAAAGTTTTAGACTTTGGAGCACTTTGGATTTCAGATTTCCAGAGTTAGGGATGCTCAACCTATGTATATCCCTTTCTGTTAGTCAAGCTGGGATCAGACAGGTTTCATGTGACCACCAAGTGGGGGCTCTAGGGAATGACTCTCAGCTCTGCATATAGATAGATCTTTCTAACAGCTTTCTCCACAGTGAGCTAAGGCCATGTGGGAAAGCAGGGCATGGCTTCAAAAATGAATTAACATAAAACATGCCATTTTCATTTTCTAAGTTTTGCTCAAGGTTTTCCTGGTGTTCCTCAAATGTACTCTTCAATAACTGTGGCCTGCACACAGCCCTGATCTTACTATCTAACAAATGTCCCACCTGGGGATAATCTGTCTTATGTAAGAGTCCACCATAATTTCTATATTCTAATTTACTGAAAGACAGAGACCAAGTAATTTCTCGCCTCTTTGCCTTTTTAAGGGGAGTGGGACCTAGTTAATAGACCAGCATAGGGTACAGGGTGAGCACATAAATATTCAAGAAGTTATATTTTGGACAAATGGAATCAGAAATTATTATACATACTAGAAATGTCATCCAACTCATAATTTTCAAATTTCACCTGAAAAGTAATTATCAAGTCTAGAGATTTTCTTATATGTGCCCAAGGCAGGGGGGTAGGTACCGGGTATGGAACCAAAGCTTTTTTAAAAAAAATTTTTTTTAATTGTAGATGAACATAATACCTTTATTTATTTATTTATTTTTATGTGGTGCTGAGGATCAAAACCAGTGCCTCATACATGCTAGGCAAGAGCTCTATCACTGAGCCACAACCCCAGACCTGGAACCAGAGCTTCGAGCATGTGTGCAACCACTGAGCCCCAGCACCAGCCTGAGTCTGGAAACTCCTACCTTCTCATTCTCACTCGGGGTAAGATCATCATAATATCAATTTGATCCAAACTCTTTGGTATTTCACCATTATAAAATAATACTCTTCCTAATTTACAAGGATCTGAGACAAGTATCTAGCTGGGTCATGAAGATGTCCACCCTCCTGAGCAAAAACACTCCACACAGATGCCTCTGCCAACAGACCTAGTGCCAATTAAACACCTTGAAATCCTGTGAGAAGATTCAATCCTGTGAGAAGATGCATTTCTGGTGTTTATGACACTAATGAAAACACCTTCCTAATATCACAGGTTATTTAAGCAGCATGTGTGAACTATACCCTGTATTACCTTAAAAAAATTCACAGTATAGTAATAAATGGACCATGAAACAAATATAAAGGTCTGAGAGGAACACTCAATATATATGAAGAGTTAGTTAGAAATTAAGTTAGAGAGAGACAGAGAGATATGAAGTTTAATGAAGTGACATGAAATTTAAAGAAGGCAATCATTCTGTAAAGTAAATAACTGAGAACACGTCTGCACTTCGACATCATTCTTGAAGGAGGGGGAAGGGAAAAATCAATTCCATTAGAAAACAAACAGACTTTAGCTAGCTGACTCAGATTAGATTACCTGTTAATACTGTCATTCGCTAGCTGGATTCCACAGTCTATTTGCAACACTGTTTTATAATCGACATAAGCTTTCCCGTACTGCTCTAAAGTTTCATAGGCCATTGCTCGTCGCAGAAGAGGTTTCATTGAGAATGGATGAAGTTCCAGAGCCCTAAAGACAAAAATATTACATATCATTGATACTGAAAAGCCACTCCCTAATTTACAGTATTAGACTCAAATACGTACATATCTAATATTTCATTCTGGAGAACTGGTAACATAGAAGAAAGGCAAAACCAAAGTAGCAGAGCCATTAAATTTGTGGTTACTTTCTTTGAAGCTATACCAAAGCTCTACCATTTACTCTTTGCCCACTGAGGCGGGAGCTCCCCGCAGCATGCCTCAGCCTCCCCAGTGCTCCCAGGGAGCCTTGCATGGCCCCATGCACAGAGTAAGAGATTCATGTTACTAACAGAGTAAAACAAAAATCATTAAGTGCAACTGTATTTAATAAGGCACTTTAGTCTGATATCACAAAACCTTGCATAGCATTTTGAAAATCAGCGCTCTAAAACTTTCTATATTTCATTATGATTTACTTGTTGCAAAAAAGTGTCGAAAATAGATTAAGAAAATCAAGGAACTACACTTAAAATGATCTTTTGTATGCCATGATTTTTCATCTTGAACTTTTAAGTTTATAAAGTGCTTCCAGTATCACTAAAGATGTATTTCAAGGCTGTGTTCTTTGTTTTGTTTGAATAACTATTTAAAGCTACTTCAGTACTTCATGTACTTTATTTTACTCTGAAATAGAACATAAAAGACTGTATATTGCTGAGGGCCTTGCTAGGAGAACAGAGACTAAAAATGTGTCCCTCTCACAACCACTTGACTATATCCATTTCACAGCAGCCTTCCAGTGCTCGCAGTGCTGTTCATTAGATCAAGATGGCCCACAGCCAAGCTTAGGTTCCATAATTGATAAGACAAGGCATTTCATTTTTAGTATATTTTTGCATGGTAAATGCAACTTTGTTTATTTCCACAATCTCAAAATTGCATATGAGGTCAGGTGTAGTGGCCCACAAGTATAATCTTAGTAGCTTGGGCAGCAGAAGCAGGAGGATCATAAGTTCAAAGCCAGTGTCAGCAATTTAGCAAGGCGCTAAGCAACTCATTGAGACCCTGTCTCTAAATAAAATACAAAACGGGGATGGGGATACAGCTCAGTGGTTGAGTGCCCCCGATTTCAATCCCCAGTACCAAAAAAAAAAAAAAAAAAAAACATGAATACAGGGGACTTCTGAACCAGAGCTTACAAAAGAGGTTGTCATTCAAGTTAACACAGTTAAGACCCTAAAGAGTCTCCTAATTTCAAGTCTGGCAGAAAATAGCAAAGACAGGCAAAAGCAGAGGATTATAGACAACACTCATTTGTATTTAGTCTGTCAGAATATCCTCAATGGAAAGTTGCCCAAAGATTTTTTTTTGGTGTGGTTTAAATAACCCCAAAGAGTTTTTCTGACCAATTGGAAACTTTTTTGTGGGAGGAGGTGTTTAAAAAATGTTGAGAATAAAAAATTTCTAGAATGTTGGTTTTCAAACTTTGCTTAGCCATCAAAATGTCTTTGTACCCGAGGGCATGATACAGAAATATGGAGACACATGTGTAGAGAGGGGCAGGGCTCTGGGCCCCTTATACATCTCATCACTCCCCTAGCAATTCTCAAAAATACCACTGGGAAACAATGAAGATCCTGAGCATAGATACTTAAAATTAAAAAGCAAATTTTCTCCAAGATACATAAAACATTATTTTCATGGGTTAATTTTTAATTTTTAATATTTTAAATTCTGTCCCCATAGTTTTCCTTTGCCAATATCTGACTCATGGTACCACTTGTCTGGTAATGGTAGCTCAAAGAAGTCTTCAACAAGCAAGATAATTAACTGAAAAACTAAAAGGGAAGCTTCCTTGAAAATGTATGCAGTCTTTTGGGGGTAAAAAGATAGTCATGTTGTCTGTTAATAAATTATTTCTAGTTCACAGAGATTTAAATACATCTATATTTCAGCATGTTCACAAAGGCACAGCATGACTTCTCTGGCATAGAAACAAGTTTGAGAATCACAGCTTTAGAGTGATGTTACTCTCCACTGGGCATCATCTCCATTCCCCTCCTGCTGGGACTCACATACCAGCTATCAAAGAAAATATCTAAGTAGGTTGGCAGGCCTTTGTGGAGGTCAGCACTGACCAGCAAAGCCAGATTCCTTGGCCTAGAACACAGCTCTTGTCTAAGGACACCCTACCTAAACCCACACCTCAGTGGCCAGCTCCTATTCTCCCCTAGGACCAGCCCCCATTCTAGTCTCCCTGGACACCATGGCTGGAGTCCCATCTTTGGCTTCCTCCTGGGTTGTTACACTGATACACATGAATTTTAGCCAGTAAATGCCTGCCTCCTAAAACAATCTCACTTAAGGGCAAAGTGAATCCACTGTTTCACAGTAGGCTTGACTTCAGGGGTCTCAAGTTTTAATTAAAACATCCTGATCTCGTTCCATTTAGGAAGGCCTATGACTAACCTGAAAGGGAATGTATCAGAAACAGACACCGGAGCTTGGAAGGATGCTGGCTGTATATCACAACATGCCTGGTATCTAACAAATTCACATGGTCTTGTCAATTACAGGCAGTGCTAAATGTTTAAGGATGGGCTCTCTGGGAAAAGAAAAAAGGTTTGAAAGCCGAGCGACGAAGCACTTGCCAGTTTTCATGGTATCAGTGCTCACACCATGGCAGAGTTCAAGCTACCAACTTATTATCAACCAGCTCACAAAATCCTGAAACTGTTAGATTAGCTGATGTAAACCAGCACAACTATACATGGGTCAGGCCAAATATAAATATTCATGTTAAATCTGAACATATATAAAACTAGCAAAAAAAAAATCCAAGTGCCTTAAAACTTTTTTATATTGTAGGCACAGATCCTAGCAAATTTTGCCCTATTGATAGATAAACCGGCACTGTCAATGAAATAAATAATAAAGTATTCATATTATGGTGCCCACATAACCTGTTGTCCAAGTTAAGCCTTCTTAGAGTAAAAAGCAGTGACAATTAACAATTAACCAGGGCTGTGTAAGTCAAATGAGGACTTATTTTTCGGATGCACTAACAGTAACTTCTTGCTAAAGGGCTTCTGAAGTAGGCTTATTACTTAATGGCAAAAGAAAACAGTATGTTTCATTCATGTAAATCTATTAATCCATCCTGGCAAGTAACTAACTGAACAGCCTTGGTGACTATATTGTGCGTTGAAGGAGTTGAAGCTGTATAAAAGAGCTTTCCTGATTGTAAATGGTTTAAATCCACTACAGTGAATGACAGGAACTTACAGGTGTGACCAAGTGTCAATTTAGGTGTTACAGATGTACAAACAGAGCCTGAGGAGATCAAGAAAGCAGACAGAAGGACAGATGAGCAAGGATTTCAGGAGGAAAGATATGGAGAAGACATTACTAACACTGGGGACAAAGTAGGCAAAGGCTTGGAGACAGGGCCATGAGTGTAAGGAAGTGGTCCAACTAACCAAATGGGAACAGGAAGCTTGTTTGGGGGCATTGTGGTGTCATAGTAGGTTATAATTGTCTGGAAGACAATACTGAGCCATTAAAGACCTTCTGGAAACAAGCTGAACAAAATAATGCTTCAGGAGAAGTTATTCTGAGGCCACAGTGAACTGGAACTAGTTATTAGGCTTCTTCAGTAGTCTAAAGGTGATATGAAAAGAGCATGCGTTAGGGTGGGGGCAAGGAAAATGAAAAAAAGTTTAACAGTTCCTGTGGATTTGGGATTGTGGCTCAATGATAGAGTGCTCCTCTAGCATGTGGGAGGTCCTGGGTTTGATCTTCAGCAACACATAATTAATCAATCAATGACAGATAGATAGATAAATAATAGTGTCCAACTACTTCTAAAAAATAAATATTTAAAAAAACAGTTCATGTATGAGTGGAGAATTAGGACCTTTTGGTATTAATCAATTAACATACCTTAAAGCTGTCTTAAGAAACTGGACCTTTATGCAGGACATTTAGAAGGATATGTATTCACCACATCGAAATTATAACAATCTCTTAACAAACCTGAAAACGTGCAGTTTACCTGTTACAATCCTGAATGCAGCCACTGCAGTTTCCTTCTTTTAGGTAACATGCTGCTCTGTTTGAATATAAGATACTTAGATCATCTGCGCTTTCACTTCCTAAAATCACATTTAATTAAATAGTTAAAATCCATTAGCAAAATCACAGTTCACCAGAATTAAAAGACAACTGCAGTCTCAATGGCACTGCAGTGCTACAGACAGCTCATCATGCAGAGCCCCTGGAGCTGTCTACCCCTGCAATGGCCACAAAGGAACGCCGCCGCCGGGCAGAGACCGATGCGACTGTGCCTGGCAGGGCACACGTTCCACATTCCAAGGTATTGCTCACATAGGTCAAGTCTTAGCGCACTTAGTCACCAGGAAGGAATGCAAGGGGGCAAGGGCTGTCACCTAGCAGGCGGCCTGCACCACTCCCACACGAGTCCCCTTAGGTTTGGGAAAGCCCGAGTAGCCCGGGTCGGTCTCGGGAACAGCTCACCTACCTGCAGGCTCCAGTTGCGCTATCGCCGCAGAGTACCGGCGGGCGGCCTCCGCGAACTGTCCATTTTTGAACAGCTCGTTGCCCTGACTCTTCAGGCCGTCCGGGCCGAGCCGGGCCCCTGCCGGGGACGCGTCGGTC